TATGCTAGACATGGCACCCCCATATACTGCACATGCTCCCCCTATTCTGCTGTATGCTACACCTGACCCCCTCCCCCACATTCTCCTTTCTGTGTCTAAGCATTTCCATGTTTTCTGCCATCAGACATTTGTCGTCGGTTGGGACCCCGGACAGGAAGTTAGTAGTGGACTGCACTGTTGTTCTAACTCCCCTCCAGCCCAGGAACTCCAACAAGGGCAACATCATGAAGTGTTCTCCCACTCCAGCCTACACCACCAAGATGGACCCCAAGGAGAAGGAGAATTTCAGGGCCTCTCCTATGAAGTCCAGCGTTGCCAGGAAGCTGGTCGTCTCCCCTCCTCCTCCACCACCGGAGGAGGACATGGAAATCGATGCCTACGCCTTTCCACCGCTGAAGTCGCCCACCACTGCCCAGAAGGCTGCCATGCCAACAAAGTCTTTCTACAAGAGAGGAGCTGTGTATGTGAGCCCGCTGGAGAGAAGGCTGATCAGTGAAAGCAAGTCTAAGGCTGGGGCGGCCTCCTCGCCTCCAGATACAAATACAACAAAGAGGCCAGAGGGGAAAGGTCCCTCAAAGATGACAAAAGCAAAAAAGCCGTCGGGTCAGAAGAAGAGGGCTGCGAGTCGGGGTGCATCGACCCCCAAAACCGAGAAGAAGGATCCGGTAAAGGGGACCTCCTCCCAGACACCCCCCACACCAGTCACCACAGAGGACCATGTCACCAGTCCCCAGAAGAGCGCCATCTTGGGGCTGAAAGTGAAACAGAGGCCCAAACTCACCATGGGAGCGGCATTCTTTGCTACCAGTAAAAAGCCTCATTCGTCGCGCAAACTCCCCGCTCACGCCAAGTTCCCGGCATCGGCAAAGCCAAAACCCTTCCAGCCAAACGGCGCTCAGGGCCCGGGATCTGGTCTGCTCGTGGACTCCGGTGGGAAGGAGAACAAGGGCACTGGTCTGAAGACAACGGCAAGTGAAAGGAAAGCTGAACACATCACAACTAGTGTCCCGAAAGAAGATGCAAAACCAAAAAGCGGCGACGTCCCTGTTCCCGAGCAACCGGAAGTCGCCAAACCTTCCAGACGGAATGACGCCGAGTCCCAGGTACAGTTTCATGTCTGTGGTTTGTTGCTGTCAGTCATGTGATTTACAATCTGGTGCTCAATGTGATTGGTCGGGAACATTCAGGATTTGTACTTCATCTGCTCTGGATGGAAGAAAAGTCTCTGTATGTCACTCAGAGTAGAAGAGGGCCGGCCTGGAGAGCAGAGCCGTGAGGGGTTTACTTTTTACTGTGTTTGGGCATTAACGCCTTGATGACCGGGGTGTTAAAGGAGAACTATGGGGTCAGGGCTTTTCCCCATAGTTCTCCTAAGGGTAACGGGAGGACACAAACTAGCGTCCTCCCGTCACCCTGAGGCCTTGTTCAGACCAAATGCAGAGCAGATCCGGTCAGGTTTCTGCACACGCAGTAAGTGTGAACAAGGCCTGAGCTCAGTATATAGGGAGCTACAGCTCGCGGTATACTGAGATGCTGAAGCGGATTCGGACAATTATGTCGGGATCCGCCCAGCTGCGTGAGTGATGGCTGGCTCTGCCTGTCTAGAGGCTGTACCCTCCCCTGTCCGTTCCGCCAGTCAGCGCTGGAGGATCAGACGGGGGAGGGGGGAATCCCTGCAGGGAGCCATGAGTGACAGTCGCAGCTCTCTGCAGGGACAGGATCGAGAAGTGAGCAAGTGCCGGTATGTGTTCGCTCACCTCCTGATCTATTGAGCCGACCTGTGACAGTCTCATTGTCACACGTCGGATCGAACTATGAGGCTGAGGGATTTTTACTCACCTCATAGTTCTCATTTTAAACAGTCCCTCCCACGCATGGGCAGGGGATGGGGTGTGGCGATGGCTCCCTACAGCCAATTAGGTCTTGCTAAGCACACGGCGAAACATGTGAAGCGCTCACCACACATCTGCAGGTTAGTTTATATGTAACCACGACATTCATTCATCAGAAGAGTGACTTTATTTCTTTCAATTTATTTATTTCAATTTATGTTTTCTGGAACATCTTCACTATGTCATGTTTGATGTGTTTATAATTTGCTTTTATTAATGTGATGCCAAAGAGCCGGGATATACTGACACTAGTATGGATGCCGAGTATCTGGGCGAGTACTCGCCCAAATGCTCCGATGCCTGGCCCGATACTCCCAGTATCAGAAAGGCGGGCAGCGTGTCATTACACGCTGCCCAGCTTCCTGATTGGCCGGGGGAAACCGGCTCTATGTAGTGACACCCTGCCCAGCTTCCTGATTGGCCGGGGAAACCGGCTCCATGTAATGACCCGCTGCCCAGCTTCCTGATTGGCCGGGGAAACCGGCTCCATGTAATGACCCACCGCCCAGCTTCCTGATTGGCCGGGGAAACCGGCTCAATCTAATGACCCAGTATGTGGGGGGGGGAGGGGAGGATGAGCAAGGACGAGGTTGATGGCAAAGCATCACATGGTAAAGTCTGAAAACCTTTCTGCTTGGACACGGTGAGAGTGCTGCCGCCACCTTGGGGTCACTTGTATGTACTGCGCCCTCATGTCTGCGTCCTATTACAGAAAGCTGCGAAGCGCCCACGGACTACGTTTGATATGGACGACTCCATCCTGAAATCCTCCGACAAGAAAGGTGATAGAACTATATACAGATCAGAGGAATCACCACGAGTCAATTGTATAATGTGATTTTATATATTTTTTGTTTTGTTATAGCGTCCTCAGTGTATCCCATCTTCAGTACACCGTCTGCGGCAAAGAAAAGGTCAGTGTGTAGCCGGTGTTACCAGTGATCCGGGTCAGGATTTATTAGGGGGGGCTTTGACGGTTGTCAACCGGACAGATTTACAAAAAGGCGCAGTGTCCTGTAATGCCGCCCACACGGGGGACAACAAACCAGATTTCACTTTGTACTTTTGGATTGATTTCTCTTTGATGTGATCACATAGAATATAGTAAAAGGACAGCGCCCAATGATATCGCACCGCGCCCAATGATATCGCATGTAATGTACATACAGGAAGTACTGAAGGGCCGCCCAGCGATGGACGCACATTATTGTAGGTGGTGGCGGTACTCGGAGCCGTGGTTGGGGTAACTTTGTTGTGAATCTTTCCAGCGTTGATGAAATTTACTGACGAGTGATTTTTGTGTTTCTATTTACAGGCCGTTTGACCTGCGGGGAGAGATGGTTTCCCCCGTTTGTGCCAGCACCCCTTTGAGCACCCCGGCCCATTTAAACAAAATCCCCAAAACCAGCAAGAAGAAAGACTGCAGTAAGGTGGAAGAAGACCAGCTGATCATTGTAAGTTAAAGGATGTGACACCCCCCCCGGTATAACACGGGCTGACATTAAAGTGACCGCAGTATAAAGCTCAGGGACTAACATTAAAGTGCACCTGCGGTATGGTTGAGGCCCCTACATGTTTATACATGTTTACACCACCTGTAGCTTGAAATCCCTCAGCTGCTCAGACAGAAATGACTGCCGTAGCGGGTATGGTTGCCGTCTCCCTTCCTGTTATTTGGACCTTCCTGTTGGCAAAAAAAGGAAGTGGAAGAAGCATAGACCTATAGAGGCACATTGGGGGTAGTGGGAGGAGCAAAGATGGGAGGAGCAGAGGCACAGGAGGAAGTGGGAGGAGCAGCGGCTTATAGGGACACAGAGGAGGAAATGGGAATAGCAGTGTCCTATGGAGGAGGAAGTTGTAAAGGCCGAGTCCTATAGAGGCACAGATAAGGAAGAGGTCTTTACTCCTTCCAATCTGGACACATTGGAGTAAGTGGGAGGAGCAAAGATCTATTGAGGCATGAAGGAGGAAGTGGGATTAGCGGTGCCCTATAAAGGAGGAAGTGGGAGATGTATAGATCTATCAAGTCACATTGGAGTAAGCGGGAGGAGACGAATCCTATAGAGGCTCAGAGGAGAAAGCTGAGTCCCATAGAGGAGGAAGTGGGTGCAGCAGAGTCCTATAGGAGCACAGAGGAGGAAGTGGGGGGAGCCAGAGGCCTATCGAGACACAGTAATTCAGGAGAATGAAAAATGAAATTGAATGATCAGGTAAACCCTCCAGTTGCACAGTTGTTGCTAAATCTAATGGAGATTGTAACGTTTGTCTCTAGCTTTCCTCTCACTTCCTGTTCTCTCTCTGGGACAGGAAGTGAAGGCAAATCTCCCTAAAGGATAGAGTGCACAGAAAAAAATCTTGCGCAATCTAACCCCATCATACCTCATGCATTCCACATTTCTCCATGCTCTGTTGTCTCTGATCAGGACGCCGGGCAGAAGCATTTTGGTCCTGTGGTGTGCAGCACCTGCGGTATGATCTATTCAGCAGCCAGCCTGGAGGACGAGACTCAGCACGCACAATATCACCAACGCCTGCTGGAGAGCATCCGCTATGTGGTAAGGAGACACCTCCCACACAATCTGCCCATCCCCCTATGATAGGAGGGGACACCTCCCACACAATCTCCCTTCATGATTGAATGGAATGCCCACTCAAGGCATTTTGATATTTGCATAACTCCTCCCAAGATCCAGCCCACTGTGTACATCAGGGCTGAGGGTTCTTGAGAACAGTTCTGGGGCAGGGTGCTGTGATGGTTTCAGGGTGCTATGTACAGCCCCTCCCACCAGCCATGATCTGCCTGCGTTGCATATAAAAGCACAGAGCCGCAGTGATGACAATACTGGGTCCAAATAAAGGTATTCATGAGAGCGGAAAGGTTTTATTTCAAAAGTCATTGGCATGTTGATGACGAGGGAGGAACCAGGGAAGGCAAAATCTAAGCTGATTATCCTGATTTTGTTCTCCACGTTTCCTGTTCCAGGGCTGGAAGAAAGAGCGAGTTGTGGCGGAATTTTGGGATGGGAAAATTCTGATGATTTGCCCGGATGATCCGAAATACGCCCTCCGAAAGGTGAGAGAGAGATGGGAATAGTTTTATATGCTGTAGTGTCTTTTAGAGACTTCCATCTACTATGAGGGGAGCAGACAGTGCGATCTGGAAGTTGGCTTTGCTGAGCGATTATGTATGAGGTCACATGACTAGATGATGGCAAGTGATATTAAATGCGGGTACATGCCAATACCTGCGCCGTGATGATGAAGCTTTCACTACATTCACATATACTATTATGCCAGCTGTACCCCCCCC